ATATACGAGGTTAGATACGGGGTCATTCAATGCACGTTGCTATAGAACAGCAGCTTGCATCTAATAATGCGAGGAAACGCTCTGAGAATAATTTTGTTTCTTTCTCTTTCTTTTCGTAGCCAATGGATGATGTTGTTCAAAAACCAAATAAGGGATTGTCGACTATCACAGCTAAACTCAGGGACAAGGTATTAACTGGTTTTCTTATCCATATGTAAGTTGTTATAGTGCTGCGAAATATTCCAACCAAGAGATCTTTTACGAGTAAAGAACTCTCTGGTTTCTGTAGACCGTGATAGTGCCACAGGGATACCAGCAGCCAAGAGACTATGATCTTAGAGAATCTAATTTTAGCGCGTGGTCGGACTGAGAGGATATTTAAAGAAAGAGACCAGGTTGGTCAATTTAATGACGTAATAGTAGTAAAGGTTTGGTTTTACTACGTTCACCAAAGATGAAAGAAAAAACTTCATAAGGAAGGGGGATTAAATATTCTAACCAAAGGGATTTTTTTCGCTTTAATCATTGGGCGTGTACGGGGATGTGTTCTCTTAGATCATAGTCTCTTCCAGCAGCGGTATCTTAAACTTGAGTCAAACCAAAAGAGAAACAGGGAGTAACTATGTTACGATGGGAGTAATTATGTAACGATATTTGTAGGAGTAGCTGTTGTTGCTGTCCCGAGACAACCTCTGTGGAAAGTGACACCCAGTCCGACTGTATCTTACGAACACCTGGTAAAACCTAATCTTTGGCTCGTCACGCTTCTCCTCGCTAGTCACGCAACGCTTGTCCCCACTAACTGCTCAAATAACCTGCGGGACTTTGTAAAGTCACGTTTCTTATCACTCAAACAAAGAAAAAACTCAAAATCACGGCAAGCATGGTACATTGCATTGTCTTACCTTCTGTTTCGTTTTTTATCTTTCAGTTGTCAGGAAAATGGATAAATCTTATGCGAGCTTTCAAAAAACTCGATAAGGACAACAAAGATTTTCTCACGCTTCAAGAATTCCGTCACGTGTTAGAGCTGTGCAACGTGGTGCTGGATGAGGAAGATATTTATCACATTTTAACAGAGTTTGACGAAAAGGACGGCGATCAGATAAGATACACAAAGTTCTTAGACAAGATTAAGTGACATGTCACTACTAGCGTGCCACACTTGTGTGTACTATCAGCAAATAATTATTTGTACAGTTTTAAAATTAGAACTTGTTACAAGATTGTATAAATGTGAAACGTCGGCTAAAGAGAGCAAGAAATACTGTGGTCCATATTAATGTTCTCGACTGGAACTACAATGGACGTCAAGAGTGTTGAGACACTTGGCAGTGAAATTCGATTTCCGTGCGTCTTGGACAAATTTTCTCCCCTTCCCCCTGAAACAATGTTGATTTTTCTGTTTCTTA